GAGACATAGATCATGAAAATCGATGGACGCGTTTCGCTTTTATTCACAATTAAGTGAAGGTATCTCATTTTGACAAGAATATTTCCCCTATGATAGTTACTAACTTCAAATCGATATATCTCGATTCCTAGACGTGACCCAGCGAAACGCCGGGCCACGTATAACTTGTTTTTGACCGATATAACATTTCCCGTTGGTTTCACCCCATCCCGATTTTGACTGTCGCATAGTGTTATCTTCTTCTATCTATCTTCTATACTATAATAAAACTGTAGATTGTTTTTCCGTTTGTCTGTTTGAACTCACTAATCTCCGGAACTACTGAATAGCTTTGCATGGGGCTTTAACTGATATATAGAGAGTGACCTCGAACGTAACCTAGGGTATTAAAAATGAGATCTGACAAGGGAGCGTGGCACCTCCCATAGGCGTGACATTTTTAATCAGCTATAACTCCTAAACCGTAAGTCACACGATTTCGAATTGTGGTGTGTTGACATACATATCTATCGTAAATGCTTATTGTAAAGTAGATATACTTTTGTAAAAGAGGCGTGGCACATCCTATAGACGTGAAATTTTCAATCAGCCATAACTTCGAAATGATACGTCACATCAATTTGAAATTTGGTATGATCCATGGTAGGCGCTTATAGTAAGGTATATATGAATGAGTTTGTACAAGGGGGCGTGGCACCTCCCATACTTGAAACTTTTAATCACCAATAACTTCGGAACCGTAACCGGCACGACTTTTAAATTTGGTGTGAAGACAAATCTATGATAGATGCCGAAAGTAAATTATCCATATATATAAATAAGTTTGTAAAAGGGGAGCGGAACATCTTACAGGCATCAAATTTTAATCACCTATAACTTAAGAATGATAAGTCACATGACCTCGGAATTTTGTGTAAAAACGTAACTAAAGTAAGCGCTTATAGCGAGTTAAACCTAAGTGAGTTTGTATAAGGGGCAGCAACACATTCCATGGCCGTGAAATCTGACATTTGCTATACCTTCGGACCCCTAACTCGCATGACTTTTAAATTTGGTGAGAACATCTATGGTAAATGTATACAAATGAGTATGTTCGAGAGGGCGTGGCGTTTATAGTAAACTGAAAGAGAGTGAGTGTTTACCAGAGTCGTGGCACATCCAATAGATGTAGTACGCTCGAGAACCACCGCCTTTGATCCATTACAAATAGACAGTTAAACTGAATGGCCTGTTGTAAACTAAATAGGGATGGGAGTTTGCAAAAAGTCTACATTCAGAGAATATCAATGTAAAAATTAAAGCGCATTTCATTCTTCTTTAGGTGCCTTAATCCACGTAAACTAGTTTTTTAGTAAAGAAAATTATTACCAATATAATTGCAGCAAGAACTGTTTCTGGATGCCGCAAAGGAGGAGATGTGTTTCTGTAAGGAGTCCTATTTATTCCCACAGACCGTCCATTTTAATTTAAAAGTCTTTAGATATTTATATACCCCTTTACATATTTACATACCCCTCTACAAATTTACTTTTTAGATGACTTAATAAAGCCCGCTGTAGTGTAGTGGCAAGCAGTGCGCGCTTCCACTCCGCAACGCCTGGCTTCAAAGCCTGGTCAAAGCAACATCACAAAAAAGTATAGAAAAAAGGTTTTTTCTCTGCCATGAAAAGCAACTTGTCATAAAAATACAATCGCCGTTCGGAGTCGGCGTAAAACTGTGCGTCCCTCCGCTTTGTGTGAAAACATCAGAGCCCATGCCACAAATCGGAGGAGAAGCTCGGCCAAACACTAACATATGTGTAAGCGCCAATCTATTATTATTATTATATCAAGAAGAAGTGTGACGAATTAAAAAGAACACGGTAGGAACATCAATGACCGCGTTTGACGGGAAAACTCTTTTTTCCAGTGCAACAGCAGGATTTTAAATGGAGATTACGCATTCTTGGAAAACCTTGCAATACTTGCAGATATCTCTTGAGTGGAAATAAGAGCTCATAGCATCGAAGGAGATTAGTACATATACCAAATGTTATCTCAGCGCTATTATACTTGGCCTATGAGTAAGGAAGGTCTGCTCTTTAGTCCTTTAATCTAAGCTAATAATGTGTACATTACAAACCGCTTTTGCATTTTTACACTATTTTTGTATTGGTCAATGCAAAGGTTCTTATCAGGCTTCGCGAAGCAAGCCAGTCATTTGCTCATATTTGAATAAGTATCAATATTCCCGAGAATATGAGACTTTCGGTTCCTAGGGATGCATGCATCGCCTTCATGATTTGAATGCAAGTGCATCGCTGTTCTCTTTGAGTATCAGAACTATATGAAAAACTAGACATGAGCAGCTCTTCGTAAAGTTTTTCATAACATTTTTTGCAGCGCATATGAAAAGGAAGTTCAATCAATCAATCGGCAAAAAAATCAGCTAAAAGTACAAAAAAAACTTGTGAAAAAGCAGCTATAGGAAAGAAGAAATATTCAGCACCGTCAGACGAAAAAATCTCAATCCCAATTTTTGAGCTATTTCAAGCATCCGTTTTATTATACTTACGTATATTGAATGGGTTATAAAACTGCAAACCAAAAAAAAAAAATTGAATTCTGTCGAAAAATTTTGACATTTTCCTTTTTTTAAATCCAAAAAATTTAACCTTCGAAAAATGAAAACTAAAGTTGGGGAAAAAATGTTCTGCAAAATTATACATGGGAAGTTCCATGGGAAAGTGGACCTCAGTGCAAAAAATTTTTTCTCTATAAAACTAACAAACGTGTAGATAAAACATTTGTAAAAATCTTGAATCAACCAAAAAAATAACAACTTAAAGCACTAAATGCATTTTTATTACCTTTTTTATGTTTTGAAATCAAGTTCTAGGTAAATTTTTTGATTTAGTTTAAAGTAGGTTGTGTTGAATGCACTTGTCAAATAATTTGCGATTCATAATTCAAATGTTTGGTAAGAAAAATATATAGTATTTAGAACTCAACTGCTTTTAATAAAATTTCAAAAAAATTTAACAGTTACACCCAAAAATTTAATTTTTTTGTTCATAGTTTTTAGAAAAATTCTATATATGCAGTTTTATAGCGTATTAAATTTAAAGTAGGAAAAAGTGAACATTTCAAGACGCTAAGAGATCGCGTTGATTTTTAATAATTTTTTTGGCTGACGGTGCTAAGCATTTTCTTCTATATAAAAGGCCCCATCCTAACATAAAACGTGAAGGAATTTAACCCCTACTTGGCTTCTTATATTTTTTAATAACTAAACTTTATATATAGACCATACTAAAAGCTCCCTTTCATATAAAAATTCGTACGTGTCCTACCCGTGACAAATATTGTCCCACCCGTGACAGAGGAATTTCGGATTTTTTTTTTAATAAATCCATATTTTTTGTAGTTTTTGCTTTGTTTGTGTTCCTGGTTCTTAATTTTATTATAAGACATCAAGTTCACACAGAAAAGTGATATAAATTCGCAGAGTTTCCGTAAATATATCTGCTCCAGAAAGCAGGTTCCTTTTTTTGTCCCTCCCATGACAGAAGAAATAAATCAGATTTTTCCTTATAAAAGTAGCTTCGTATTTTGTAATAACTCATATAACTGTCAGTTAGGTGTAGCTTTATCAAAATGTAGAATTGTTGAGTACTTTATACATAAATTTAAGCAAGAAAGAAAAATTTTTCCAACCCGTGACGGTGAAATCGCCCACATAAAAGAACATTTTTTCAAAAACCCGAAAATATTAATGTTTTAAAAAACTAGAATTAAAACTGTTTTGAATAGCTTTTCCATAGTTCCAGAGTTCATGAAAAGCAAAAAACTAACTACAAAATTACGTCGAAAAATTAGAAAAAGTTTAGCTTTAAAAAATAGAAATTAAAATTGTTCTGTGTAGCTTTTCAAATGTTCAAGAGTTCCTGAAAAGGAAAAAAAATTCTGCAAAATTACGCCGAAAATTTGTTCTTCAAAAAAGTGTAATGTTCGTAAAAATTAAAATTAAAACTGTTCTGAGTAGCTTTTCAGTAGTTCTAGAGTTACTGAAAAAGAAAAAAAAAGTCCTGCAAATAGCGCCAGAAAAAAATTAAAAGAGCACGTCCAAAGAATCCCCTAAATGAAAATCAGGTAATCCGTTCCTGAATTTTTAAGAGTCAAATTGCCATTTTGGGTACATTCTCTTATCGGATCTCTCTTTGCTACATTTGAAAGCACTCTGAAGTTGGGGAATTTACTTTGAATCTACTAGCAATATAGAAGTCGATATTAAATACACGATCGAGCCCGATAAAATTCAGTGTTTTTTGCTAAAAATTTATTTTTAAGTTCATCAAGCCAGTTGCCCATTTTTATCATGTTTACAAAACCTTTAACAAAGTGGTATGTTCATATTAGGGATGTTGCGAATGTGGAATTTTAGACATCCGCGGATGCGAATGCCGATGCAAATATCTAACGGCTAACATCCGTGGATGCGGATGCGAATGCGGATGTCAAGTATTTATGAGAAACAATTGAAATCTAGCATAATGGCGAGATCGTATGTCAGGTTTTTCTAAAGCTTTTTTAAAAAGAATTCTTCATTCTCATTCCTTTGGCTGTTTCAGAATTTGGGGAATCTGCAACTTCATCAGCGTTTTCCAATTTTATTTTTTAAAAATACATTTTTAATACTTTCTTCTGCGACTGGTTTGAAAAATTTGTGCTTATAGGTGGATATGGAAAAAAAATATATTATTTTTGAACAAAATTCTGTTTTCAAATTCGTGGCTATCAGCCGAATCGGATAAGAATATTTATTTTTTTTACAAAAGTTTGTTTGCCATATACACGTTTTATCGGAGCACTTGCACAATATTCGCATTCGCAAAAGCTCCGCATTTATTATTGCGAGTGCGAATGTTAAATTTAATGCGGAAGCTCCGCGGTTGCGAATGCGAATATTCGCAACAACCCTGATTCATATGTATGTATAATTTTCTGTATTCTGTTTTCAGGTGACTGTTTGGGGTGATTATGGACGCATCGAGAAGAAAGTTTTTATGGGTGTGGCTCAAATAATGCTCGATGATTTAAATTTATCGAATATCGTTATCGGCTGGTACAAACTCTTTGGAACAACATCACTGGTCAGTTGTCCCACTAATTTAGGTCTATCTAGGCGCTCATCAATTGTATCACTTGACTCACTCAAACTGTAGCGAACACACGCATCCGTACTAAAAAAAAAAATAAAACAAAAGCAACACAAAAAACACGAATCTAATCACACGTAGCCAAATTGAAAATTAATAAAAAAATTTCTAAAAAAATTTCAAAACATCCATTAATCTAACGTTTCTTCTTCAAAAACTAAAAAATTACCATAGGTACACCTACATACATATATTTATATGCATTACTAATATTTTTGAATTCTATTCGCCTAGCCTTATGGACCTTACTTACCTTAAAATCAGGCCTAAAAATCGGTTCACATCCTATTCAAAACTATTCCAAATGTAGCTTAGCCCTCGACACATTGCAAAGACAAGCAAAAATTTATAAAATTCGTTTAATGCAATTGTTGATAGAAAATATTCTATTTTAAGACTTTATTTAAATATAACACTTTACCTAATTCTATCCACCTAATTATGAACATTGTACTTACCTTTTTCAATTGCTTAATTGCCTGTGTCCACACATTTAGTACTCGTTCTCCACGCTCGAGCAAGAAACAGAAAATGATAATTAAAAAACTGCTACCACTTACTCAAAAACCACACGTATGGGATACTGTACAAACATTACATAAAACCTACGCAAATACATAACACTACAAGCAGTCAAATACAACTTTCTTATTACATACATACTATGTATATAAATAAACGCTATAATTACATAATACAAAAAAATTAAAAAATTATAAAAAATGTAATCTGATACAATTAATTAAAAAAAAAAAAAAAATATCGTAAAGCTCACACTCGTTTAGACCATTTCACCGACTTAGTCGTTTGGCATTGAATCGCTCAACGTAGTTTATGGGTATGTCCTGTGTACCTTTAGAAACATTCAAACATTTCCCTTGCCACCGATTCGCATTTGATATTTATGCTTACAGCAATTAAATATGTAACTAATTTTCAATATATACATTTATGCATGATGTGAATGATATTTAAGCGATTCTTTGTTTTTTTGCTTGCAAACTCCCCTTACAAGTATAATTAACTGTAAATAATTAGCCAAACATGAATTCTACCAAGGAAAATGCATTGGTGCAAACTTTACGAAAATATAACTCATGAAAAGCAGTAATAAGCCACAATAAGCTACACAGACGTACATATGTACATTAGACTGCATCACTCCCCATACAAAAAAAAATCGGTACTATTTTTTCATTGGAATTATAAAATCTATTATATTTTAAGACGTCCACTAAAATATTAAGATTTAAGTGAGCTAGACCAATTTCAAAATACCTCCAAAAATGGAGTTTTTTATGAATAAAAATAGTTTCTTAAATTTTTTATTTTTTTTAAATCCCCTTAAAAGAGCTTAAGCTTAAAAAATTTGCACAAATATATTTTAAAAATATTTAAAAAAAATTTGAGCGGAATCGTAATGATGAGATTTTTGATGCTGTTTTTTAACTTCTTTCAAAGACTGCTATAAGAAAAACTTGAATAACTGAGCCTAAACTCTTCTGATTTAGACTTATGAGGTGTCGGTGGAAAGGTATTTTCTCACCCTTTCTATTTCTTTGCTAATAAACTCATTCAAAGGTTGAAAGAGAAAGGTAGGATGAACCAACGTCATTCAAAGTTGAATTATGATGTGCTGGTATTTGAAAAAAAAATTGGGACTTGAATGATTTTTTGTTTGGACAGAAATAAAAACAGTATGAAAATAACTTTCTATTGAGATCCCATAAGACTAAATCAGAATAGTTTTGGGACAGTTATTCAAGTTTTTCGTAAATCAATCTTTGGAAAAAAGTAAAAAAACAGCATCAAAAATCTCCTTCTTACGATTCCGTTGAAAAGATTTTTAAATATTTTCATGCAGATTTTTTAAGCTTAATCTGTTTTGTCATCTGAGGGGACTTTTTTCAAAAAGTTCTTTAAGAAACTATTTTTATTCATAAAAAACTCCATTTTTGGAGGTATTTTGAAATCAGTCCAGCTCACTTAAATCTTAATATTTTTCCGAAATATTTTTTAAAATTAATAAATTTTGTAATCCCGGCGGAAAAAACGCAACTTTTTTTGGTGATGCAGTCTAATGTACATATTTTAGAACAGGTTAGGCTTGCTTGGCTGATCAACTAGATTATGGAGGTATAATATCCATAGATCGTACAACTGAAAAAATTGTTTGCCGAAATCGTAGTACTTAGACTTTCAGTGATTAAAGGAACAACGAGAGTATATTATTTAGTCGCAATCTATGTAGTAATGCATTTTTCACTATGGTCGAGTTTTAACTTGAAATTAGCTGCGCTGCACTGTGATATTGCCCCAAGCAATGCTAGAAATTCAGCCCTGAGAGCGGTAGAAAATGTTGCTTGTTTTCACGCTATAAAAGCGAAACATTGCTTCTGTTATTCTACAGTCTGTTACCCAATTGTTATATCCAACTTTGTTCTTAAATAGTTGAGAGAAAGGTAGTCGGACTCTCTGTGGTTGTGGGTGAGCGGAAATAAGACCGCGTGCATTAAGGCCGCCTTCTTATTTCACCGGAAGTCTAAATTCATTTTGTGAATGAAATAAGACTTTAATCACAAAATAAATTGTGTCCGTGCAGCCTAATTTCATTTTTTGATCAGGGTTAGACTGTTTGTTCCGTTAGCCCGGTCTAGCCTTGAAATGTGCCGGGTTTCACTCAAACTTGCTGGTTTTAATGCAAAACATTTAATTTGTTTAGTTTTTATTGTTTTTTATACCCACAAAAGTATTATAACCTCGTTCACAAAACGATTGTTTGTAACAGCCTAAAGAAATCGATATAGACATAAACATACATATATATACGGTGACCATAAATATGGATTCAAAATGAAGGACAATTTTTAAAAATATGCCTACAAATATTTACGTAGTATAAAAATATCAAAAGAGTATTTATGATTCAAAATTCTTAATACATTTTAAACTTTAAAAACGAATCACGTTTTCTTCATCGATATTAATCTTTTTTTACATAAATATTTATAAAAGTATAGTAAAAGATTATTTTTTACGCAAATTTTGAGTCGTTCAAAGCGAACACAATACCCTTTTTTTTGTTTTTTGTACCTTTCGCAGTTATTTGTCAAAAATCGACGTCATAAATCGACTTAAACGACGAGTTACAAAGGTATTTATGTGCCCTTTACAAAGATATATAATTTGTGCAGATTGCACTTCATTGCATTTACATTTCTAATCCGATTTTCATTATCTTTGGCTCAAAATTTACTGTAATGATATATCTTCTTTATCGAATTTTTAAACTAATGAAAAAAATAATCAAATAAAACTTCGTATCTGATTGAAAATCTCACTTTTTTCGACTTTGACGACAAAATGCAAATGGTCGCCTGTAGCACTAATAATTTTCATTGAAGTCGCCACAAGTTATATATTTTGGTAAGAGGCACATCAATACCCTTCGAGATGTAAGTCGCTTACGTTGATTGGGAGATTTTTTCATGAGATATTGAAGAAAAGCTACGAAAAGTACCAAGAAACACTTTTTTGAAAAAATCCATCCATTGTCCGATAAGTTTAAAATAACGGATAAAATGCGGAACAAATGCAGGACACTTGGAAAAAAGCAGTACATTTTCAGGTTTGGAAAACTACGCAGGACCGACCTTTGAAAAACAGTACGGTCCTGCAAAAAACAGAACGGATGGTCACCGTACATATATAGTATATAACAAAATGCTCAAAATGAAAAGATAAATCGATTAACCCGTGTCTATCTGCCCGTCATTCCGTCTGGGCACACGATTACTCGAGTAAAAATTTATATAAATTAACGAAATATGGTACGTGTATTTCTTTTCAGTCAACGACGGATGGTATTGGAAATGGGCAAAATCGGGCATGAACAACGCCTACCACCTATTTAACGGCAGGCTTGATAATGCTTCTCATAAAATTTATTGGTCGTTCGGAGGCGACGGTACAGGTCGCTGCATTATTTGTCTAAAGGCTTAGCAAAAGAGTGAATGCCAAATATATATTTTTTTTTATAAAATGAATGACATTATGACTAAGTAGTTGACCTTATGAATCGCCCAAATGCAAACATATCTGTGGACTTTTGGCAAAACCATTTCTGTAGGTTGGAAATTAGAGTAAAACGAAACTTGCATATTCAGTTTTTCATTTTTTTATTTAGTATTCAATCTTGAACTACAATTAATGATTAAATATAAAAATATCATTCAAGGAACTACTGCTTAACAGAGAAAATGATCTCGCTCGATAGAAATGGTTTTATCGAATGTCCACAGATATATATATTCCTTCATGAGGATGCTGATGTAATATTTTACAGATTTCATAAGAGGCCGACAAAAAATATGACAATCTGAGTTTCCGCTTGGAGCATTTGCAAGCTTATTACTGTTGATCTGAGTTAACATACATAAAAACAAATTTAAATATTTTATCTTATGTACATAAATAAATACTTTCTAAATACCCATACAAAATATTTTTACTAAAAAATAATAGAATGCAATACGTACTCGTAGTAAATGTCATCCTCATATGTACCTATATAAATAAAGATATGCATATATGTATAAGTAAACATGTGTATACGTAAATACTGATCTGATCTGATAAAAGAGCTGACTAGGCATAATACTTATATAAGAGAGGCACATCTCGTATTTGGAATACACATAAATGGGCGTTATCCAGTTTAATAATAATAATAATATTTTGCGCTTACACTTTCTCTATGGCTTTCTGGAAGAATAAATCGAATTACATATTTTTAAATTACACTGGGCCACGTCCAGTCAAAATCAAACTCTGAGTTACGCCTTTTATAATTATTATTCCCAGTTACGTCTAAGTATCAAAAATACATTTATATGAACTTGTATAGGTACACTTCAAAAACATTTAATACACACACGTTTTACTAAATTAGAATCATATTTTATTAATAAAAATATTTGCATGTACCTTCAAATCAAAATGGCTAATCGCAATGTAAAATAGCTACTAACCATAAATACATTAAGGTGAAGAGCATATATACATACATATGTAGATATGTATCTGTTACCGGCCAAACCCGATCTGAGGACAAACTAGTTTTTCTTGGGCGAAATTAGTAGTTCTATCTAAATCTGATACATCCGTCCAACGCGAAATCAAGTTGGACGCATACAATACATACGCAATATTGTGGAATGCGTAGCTGGAGTTGGACTAATGAGGGTTATTGTTTTTTAAGCGTGGCCTATGCCCGCCTACGCAGAAAGGTGTTCTGCTCAAAAATATTGTGGCGCCTGATCTAGTTTTGCCTAGTCAAAACTAGTTTGTCCTAATATCGGGTTTGGCCGGTAACATATGAATTATGCTCTTACTTAAGCTAGTGAAATATCGAACAACACTTCAATACATATGTATGTAGTGTGCATATAGCAATATTATAGACATCTAGTGCAGTAAATGCATCTCTATACATACCTTCATATGTACAAAGAAAATCCAAAAAACCTTCCGCCAAAACTATTTTAGTAATCGCCAACGTGCCTTAACAAAACTTTGGACATTTTTTAATCACTTAGTCTTTCGCATTTTGGAAGCGATGTGCTAGTATGTACAAATGTAAATATCCTTTTAGCCTAGTCTTAAATTCAAAGACGGAGTTAAATTATTCGGCTTACTCTCACTTGGCCTGATTTAATACCTACATATAAGCCAATATAAGAGAAAAAATTAACCATAATCTAGCCACCATTACCAGCTGAAAAATTCACGTCTATAGCTACATAGTTTTGAGATAAGATATTATTCATATAAAAACAAAACGGCTTACTTTAAAGTTTGATAACTTGAAAACCTAGGGACGCCCCATTGTTTGGCCTGGTGAATCGGTCATTCTTGAAGAGGAAGGCGAAGAGATGCAGGTGAACTGAAATGGCTCCACGAAAGCCAACGTAAAGCGCTCACAACTTGGCGATGTAAGTGTGAAGGACTAAAAACAATGCAGTGCTTTTAGACAGTTTTTAACCTGAGCTAGTTAACGCCATTTTGCTTTGAAACGCAGTTCTGCTGATTTTCCTCTGGTATTGTGCATTAGACAAACAAACTAAATATTTTCATTTAAAACACGTTTTCTTACTTTTATCACATACAAAAATTTGTTATTCATTTAACCTGCAAGTTCTCGTATTCCCAGACCTTTACAATCACACAAAAACAGAAAAAATATCATCGAATGTACTATATTGTCTTCACGTTTGCCACTAATTTTTTCTCATTACCCGTCATACGTCCTTAAACCCCCACTACCGTTTTCCGGACTTTGCTTACTAAATTTGTATATTTACAGTAACCCCTGCATAGAGCTGCTTCCACGGCAGCGCCGCGATCCTAAGTCGCTTGGTTAGCTGGGAAATGAAAAAACGTACGGCAGAATGATGAGAGAGAGGGTGGAGACTCACATACCGAACGAACGATGACACAGAGTCCTTAGCAAGATTGCGGGTCTTCTACAGGATCCCTAGTTATTATCACGTTTCGCAGATGGGCACCTATCAGCGCTCACATAGCTTTGGCGTCGATCAAGAGCAGCTCAACGGGAACCTTTTGAATTCAAACGAAGTAGAAAGCACACAAACAAGAAAACAAAGCAAAAATGCATATAAATATGTTTAGAATATGTTTAAGGTATATTTTTTAAGCTACATATGAGAAAATGACTCTGACTATGAAGAGAAAGATGAAGATTAAGACGAAGATGAAGACGATAGCGATGATCTGGTGATTTATGTATATCATAGTGATCATAGATGTAATATTGACAATGACGATGTCGATGTTAGTGATGATGGTGGTGGTGATGACAGATAAAGATGCATTTAATACTACAAAATTGCAAAATGATACATACACACATATATAGAGCAAAGTAAATGAGTAACAAAAAGGATTTATTATGAACATATTTAAAAACAAAGAAGGTGTGATTTTGACGGCATTATTTATTACGTAATATTCTTGTAATTATAAGTGAATGAATATGTAAAACTATCGTTAGAAAACATGCAAATGAAAATATATGTATACATACATACATACATAAAATAAAAATAATAAAAGACAACCTTATCTTCATTGGGAGTATTAAAAAAAAAAAACAAATGAACGAATCTGAATTTTATGATAAATAATTATCAAAAACTCGGTCGACACTCAGTAAGAAAAATATTCACACATTTCTATTATAAAATTTATGCTGTTTAATACCGGTGTTCAAATTCGAGCAGACATGAATTATGTAAATATTATTAAAGCGACCATGATTATGATCTAACACATACATACACACATTCGTTCATAAATAAAAGCAAAATATATTATTATTACTGAAGCCAAAATCTACGAAGACAAACGAGCTAATGTAATAAAGCAATATGGATTGCTGCACAGAGCGTTGAAAGCTAAGAATCGCCAGAGGTTCCTCATGCTAATTCAAATAAGAATTTGTATGTACATAGAAAACATAGAAAATCAAACTGAAACCTGGTATACACTATTTGAATAAGCGTGATAAGTCTTTAGCGGCGACGTACGTACCTCGTCGAAGAGGAAAGAAAACCTAATTATCCTTAAGCGCTAAGTAAAGTTTCTTATTTTCTCTCTTAAAACTCATTTAACGAGAAATATTTCCTTTTGGCTAAATAATAAAGGAAACACTTAAATACATACTCCCATGCATAAATACGGACATACCGAAAAAATATGTACATATGTATACCCAATTTGCGAGATGAAGTTGATTCCGACCACGGTTGCCAATTACCCCTTTTGTGTGTACCAAAAACTGTACAAGAATGTAAAAAAATTACAAAAAAAAAATGTTTTAGCCATTGATTTAATTATTTAAATATTTTACAAATTTAGTTAAGAGCGTGTCAGACGTGGCAATATTTCCAACTTGTCCACGCAATTTGCTGTCAAATTGAGACACTTTTCGGAAATCTGTTTCAGAAATTCAAATATCATGGTATGACTACAACTGAAAGAACGCAAATCGATTTCGGAAGTATATTTCAACTTGCTTGTGTTGCACTAGCAATTTTTATTTCTGCTACAAGTGGTGTCAAACTAATCGAGTGTTGGAAAGTGACACTGATCGCGAGTTTGTGAATGATAATAAGCATAATTTTGAAAAAAATATCAGAAACGCTTTTAATTATTAATGTTTCGGAATTTAATTGTTTAGATATGAAGCGTAAATTAATCTTCAAACTAAAAATTTGAAGAGAAACAACGAACGACCGGCAAAGCGGCTCATGGTTCGATTTTTGTATCGAGTAATTCATTCGCTGCACTATGGCTGAAATAAGCATTTTCTCCGGCCAAAAATCAATCAATGCAGATAGGCGCTTAAAATATCGTAGACATGCTTTTGAGAATCTTAAAAGATATTGGTTTGAAAATCAGCGAAATCGGCCCACAACCACGCTCCCTCCCATATACCGCGTGTCCCAGGCCACCTGACCACCCCTTCTAAAATGAAGGAAAAATACGAAGTACCAAGTCGGGGATGCTCTATCTTTTGGTCGAATTATCGACTTCCGGTTTCGACCGGATGTCCATTCCAGAGAAACGTTTCTGATAAAAGTTACCTATTTTGTCCGCATACTCCGAATCTGTGGTAAAAGCATGTATGTTCCGGTTAAAAAAGTGGACTTCCGGCCCATCCACACGTTGAATATTGTTTCATCAGTATGCCTTTCCCATTGCTAAAATAATCACACTTAAAGGGCTGTTTGCATGTCTCAAGAAAAATCACAAGAAATACTTTTCATTATTTCCGTTGGTTGAAAAAGTACTTCGCTTTTGCTGCAAATTTTCCTGAAGAAATACATAAATATTCTAGCATCTTTCGCTGAGAGCTGCAAACTGATTTAAGAAGTTTTGATAGATGAAAATTTCTCTTCCGTTTCTTGTGCGTTATTTTATATGAATTTTTCGTTTTTTCTTGAGGGCTGCAAACACCCCTTAAAACTTTTTATATACGTAAAACACATCCGCGTTGACCCGCAGTTATGTGTAATGTAAATGTCTAGTACAAACTAAAACCGAAACCATACAATTAAGGTTGTCAGATAGGGGACCAGGGTATCTTGCGGTCATAAATTCATAATAATTAGAGTATCTAGTATAAAGTCCGCCTGTTAAAAATTTTGAAATCAAAAATTGAAAATTGGACCTTTGGCCACAGAAAATGCCTATTTCAGAAAAATGATCTGTAAAAGAAACAGTTTTTTTATTATAAACTTAGTTGAGCGAATAAATTCGATCTATATATTTATGTAGGTGTATAGATCTATTGTGCTGACCCTATAAAAGTTATCTCCAACCTTGGAGCACCTGTAAAATTAAACGTTTTAGAGGGTGTCGTGTCTTAGATTCTAGACGGAGACGATAATGGGTCCCCCAAAATATAACAGTCTGAGACCTATGATACGTGGGACATCGCATAATATATTCCAGCCACAAAGCCAGCAGCCCAGTCAGGTAGCTGTTGGAGGCGCTCAATCCTTCCGGACTTAGGGGGAGTTATAAGTTTCTCGATTGCCTTATCCCTTCGCCATTCCGCGGCAGCTTGAGAATCCACCCATTAGCCTAGTAGCTCAGCTCCGTTGTATCCCACGTTCTGCATGAACGTCAACTTATTTGTTGCCATCAAAACCCTCATGTACCGGTACCAACCAAAGGACTACTCTTATCCTGATATGCGTGCTTAATTAAAAAATCAATAGAGACTTTCAGATGTCCACAAGCCTTGATGCTGTCTGACTGTCAGACATGACATTTATCCTGTCCGCATTTATCTTTCTACGAGGACCTTTCGGGTTGACTTTCCTTCCTTTGGTGAATACTTCCAGAGATATGCAATATGAAAAATCGGTTAGTATGGGAGGTCCCACATTACCTTTTTCAATAATTCAAATATTTCTCCATGAGTATGCGATTGATTTCATATATGGGAGGTTTCAAAAAAATTGGCACAACCGCTCTCGAGCTTTGCGAACAGAAAAAATAGCTTAATATATATATATTAGTACAGACAAAGAAATGCTTTTTTTTCTGATAGCGAAAGGGGCAGCAGTCGTAAGAATTTATATTTGCGCGCGAATTTTGCATTTGTCTGTCTAGAATCTGGATTGCACCCATTGTATTCGATTAAATGTTCCAGTGAAAAGGTGCAAAATAACGCGCAGCATTTTCACCAGATCTATGATCCCGGTATGGGTAGTGAACTCATTCTTTGGTACAATTTATGGAATAAAAAGAACTTGTCTGAAGAAGTTTTGAAGGATAATGAAGTTGTAGATCTATTTAAAGAATAAAGCGAGTTTCTACCAGCGATAGATACGTGTATTTCCATTTTGAGTGATTTTCCATGCACAACAGCTACAGTGGAGCGATCATTTAGTACATTTCGAAGAGTAAAAATCTGGCTCAGAAGCACAACAGCGTCCATAGAAAACTGCGAGATGATTCTGGAGGAAATAATCCAAAATTTTGCTGAAAAAATTAACAAGTATATTTCGTTTTTCCCCCTTTTATTAGATCCTGGCTACGCCCTTGCCTCAGTTCTTAATATCTTTTCTGTTTCTGTTCCAAGACCGTTCTAATAATTCTTTATGCGTACGGGATGACCGTCTAGAAGAAACGTCAACATTTTGTAGCTCACCAGGCCTGCTCATGTCACGAAATAACAGTAGTTTTCTTTCCTCTAGCCGACATGGCTTCTTGCTAGAAGTATGTACATATGCATAGCTCAAAATATTTATTTTAAACACTTTTCAATCTTCAGTAGAAACATTAATACAAAAAAACATATGTCTTTGCATATCATCATCTTTAATTACAAAGCAGCATTTGACTAATTTTAAATTTTTATAGAAGACGCCATTTCTTAGTTCATAAAAATGCCTTCTAGGCTGCTCTAAACAAGCTATTAAATACCACATGTTTTAAAGATTTGACCTTGAATTTCAGAATGGGGGCATCTCAGAAAAACATCTTAATATTAATGATTGGCATGTATGTAAAGTGGGATCACTAAAATATTTTCATCTAATATTTTTTATTACATGTGTCTTTTTTATTTAAGGCTTTTTTATAGTGATACCTACATAGAAAGATATGTATTTAAATATATATGCATGTAAAAAAATTTTGTAAATTCTTGCAATTATATACAAGTAATATATTTTCTTTTTTGTAACATAAAACTTTCACAAGGAAAGAAACAATAAAAATTTAATGGAAAAAACAAAATCAAAGTACCTTATAATAGAATGAGCTGTAAAAACGATACCTGCTTGAAACTATAAAACGAAATAAAAACCAGAAATAAACAAATAAATAAATTTTACAAGAATACAATTTGTAATAGTAATTTTTTGCCATTAAAAACTTTGATTTAATTTTGCCAAAAAGAAGAAAAATGCAAAGGTTAGAAGAATTTGTTAATTTGAATGTTAAAAGATCATGTACACACATGCATACATACACACAGATGTACTACATATGAAAATACACCCAATAAACATTTAGGTTGGAGGCCAATGGGATACCCAATATTCCAATGTTGATTTTAAATTGGAGAACGAAACCATTCTCAAAAAAAGGGACGTTTTTGGTAATGCAAAATAATCTCAGTTCCCCACTTGAGAAAAGCTTGGATATCAATTCAAATGAATTCAAGCTTTATTCAACTTTTAATTAAACCTTAAAAAAAAATCTGGGATAGAAAGGTTGTACATCCACGGTAGAATCAAGATTTTGTCAAATATTGGAAAAAAGTTTGCTTTGTGCACATTGGGCAATCATAAGAGTGAATAACACAAGCCAACACAATCAATTAGCATTGCATTCTTAGATTTTGAGTTTGGCGCGTCAAAAACAAAGCAGTAAAACTATTACATAACCATGCTTAACATATCATATAAAGCTTGTAAAACTTAGAAAGATGCCGAAAGTAGCTTCGCGTGCGACTTGAATTAAGTTACCCTATATGCCGTATTTTTTTTTAAATTCATGGCTTTTAAATACGTTAAAAAATAAGCTATACAACCAAATGCCCCCAATAGAAATAACTACGTAGATATTTTTGGAATTGTTAGCTAATTGCACACTATTCAATAAAACATTTACATTAGTAAAGTAATAAGTATGTAGTTTCAGAATTCATACAAATACCTTTTCATAAAAACAGCGATCGGAAGTAACACAAAGAGGTTCTCAGATAAACCACGTTGCACTAGGGATCTTCACACCGACTTTGGACTTTGCAAATTTACCTTTCATTGAAAATAAACGATAAAAAGTGAAACAACTACCTTAATCCTTTTGGAAGTGATGCATTTTTAATTTATCGTGCTTAAATATCAAAATATGCATAGACTTAGCAACTTTTCACTCTAAGCTAGCGATATGCTCTTAAGTTTTCACTTAAATGCATTGGACTTGCGAAAACTCAAAATGGACAAACCTTTATATGAAAATGTGAACTTTATTTATATTTAAAATACATACGTATATGGTCACCGTAACTGCAGGCAATAGTATTACCGTAACAATTGTATGAAATGTTCAAGTCCAAGAAGATTTTATTGAATCCCGAAGCGTATCTATTCAGAGAACGAAGAAAACACCACGAATGAAAATGCAGCACGCGCCTTTATTAAAAATAAACCCCATAAGGCCATGTAATGATTACGAAAAAAGTCATAGGCATGTAGATGTTTTTGCATAAAATCAGAATCACGGGTTTTTTTAATTTGCTGTAGATTTTGAGATATTTTGGATTTAAAGTGTAAAAATGCCTTTTTGCCATTATTTGAATAGTAACATATTATGGAATCTTTCGAATAAATAGAATGAAAGGAAAGCTATAGTATTTTTAGCGGCAAAGATAAGAATTAGACACAAGACCAACCTTTTAATAAATTGCAAATTTTCCAATTTATATCTAACATTTTCTAAAGCTTAAATAAACTGCTTCTCATCGCCCATCCTCATCAATTTCATCACAAAGGTTTTCTACAAAAACGAACGCACAAATGAAAGGTGAAATGACTTTTGAAAATTTTGCCAATCAATCGGTTAGTCAGTCGGCTAATGTAGTGAACTTAGATATGGATTCACCTAGAAACAAAAACAAAACTTAAAAGTATTCAAAATACAAAACTTATTTACATTGTATAACATTCAAACGATATTTTCAGAATTTCTCCGTCCATTCGTTACATACTCGAAGGAGAAATTGTAAACTCAACTAAACATAAATTCATAAGCACAAACCATAAGCCATCCATAAAGTGCATCCTACTTACCAAAAAGCTACATAGATGAACACTCATTCATACAAACATACACATACATATATGTACATATGTACTTAGATGATTTATACCAAAGAATAGCGATGGTATCTATACTTACATACATATTTACATCCATGCATACATATTTTCAACACATTTATACCGGTATTTGTAGATATGTACATACCCCAGGAAATGTATCCCCTGTGGGGGTATCCTGCAGCAAATGTATCTAACTATAAGCTAACTTTAAGTTAATTAGGAAGGAGCTAAAAATCACTATTATCTGTTACCTCTGCATTTGATGTAACTTACTACTTTTGGACATAAAATAGCAATAGGAAAACAAACGTTTTTTTTTATTTTTTATTTTATTTTTTATTTTTTTTACTTTATTTATTTTATTACATTTCATATTTGTTTACATATTCTGCTGTAGGGGTGGTCTCATATTCGAACTCCGTTAGACGTAACTTCAAAATCATAATATACAATTTCGATCTTCCTTTTATTTGTCCTCAACTCGAAAAAGTATTTGTGAAGTGCGGTATTTAAATAGAAACGCGTTCAAAGAAAACAATCTCCTTCATTATTCCTGCATTACTAGTCAACTAGTTTCAAGTTAGCTTTTTGTATCTATATACAAGTTATATATTTTATAGAAATCCCGCAAAAAAGCTAACTACAAGTGGGTTATTTTTTATCAATTGATAATATTTTTCTGCAGGGTATATGAACCTTCATAAATCGCAAATACATGTGTATGTACAAATGTATCGGTTTCACACATTTTCTCAATCCGATTCCGAACGTTTAATTGATTGCCTTTTTACTATGAAGTTTTCGAACTGCTTTTTAAAATGTTTATGTGATTGGAATTACATGAAATATGGGTGCATTTGACCTAGTAATCTAAGCCGAAAGCAAGAAGCAGGACGAAATTTAACCAACCCAAGAATACGCTCTGTAACAATTCCGACTTAATCGCACAATTTACTATTTTTCCTATCGTCTTGGTGGAACCGTTCTTCCCGAGAGCGGGTAAGATTTCGAAAAAAATGCGATATCATCTTCGATAATTATCAAAAAAAAGTCGTGTCGATTTAGTAACTTCCGCAATATAAAATACTGGCAGGACTTATATTAACAAAACTCAGTTTAAAACCACTTTAAAAGATGGAAAATACTATTCCTATCAAAACCAAAGAACATTTTTTTTATGTAACTATATTTCTTCTGCCTAGAATATTGTGAATGTTCCAAATAAATACAACAAATTAATAAAATCGTGAGAATAATTACTCGTCAAGAAGCCACTGGTTCCAAATGTTCAGCTTGACTATAGTAAATAGTTCGGATGTAGCTCAATTGGCTCAAAGTTTTAATACGTCACCAGTTGATTGCATGGAAAAGGTATTTAATTGGAACCAGTTTCTGCCACCAAAATCTTTTTATTTACGTGACTATTTCCGATTTGGTATAATTTACATGCACATGTACATATATGCATGAATAGATTTTGTATACACCCGGATAACACAACAAGTTTTTTAAGAGTATTATAGTGGTACCCTTCCGCAAAATTGAAGAACAAATACTTTACCATTTTGCTCTATAAAACCCTTATAAGACTAAAAGGGCCCAGTCGGCGGGGCTTCGTAGCGCAAAATAATTCTCTATTATTAGTTTATAAATCACATGTTGGTAGTTTTATAAGGCTATTTGTGTAGAGCCGTTGGTCTGACACCAGTGATGAAATTGATGGTACAATTGTACTTTTTTGGTACATTTTGGAAGCCAAAAGAACATTGGTACTACATTGACATTTTTCATAAATTTTTGTCAAGATACGGTACTGCAGATCAATTATGTCGAAATACCACACTCTATTTACTTCCAGTTTTGAATTTTTGTGCATAAAAATAGTCATATTTTTCTACCATATTTAAGTAAATACGTGGTGTTTATTAAAAACGAAACTCTTACTTAAATCAAAAAAAAAAAGTTGCTGTCATAATAGGTCTATTCATAAAATTTTCCAGTAAGTACTAGCAGCCAGAGAATAAAATAATCATAGCGAGTAAAATTGAGGGGAAGACTAATATATCAGAAAAAGTTATTGAACGCAAAACCAGTAACAACGTGAAACTTCCGCCATTCTGACTTTCTGATAGGTAAATTTGGTAGGAGTATTTTTGTATTCTCCACACAAAATCCTCCAGCAGCAAAAATCCTGAGCAGTTTGCAAAATTTGCAAAAACTTGTAATCTTCGAAACAGCTGATAACTTTCACAGTTGCAATAGGTGGTTCATTTGGTAATTTATTATCCGCTTGGTGCATTGTCCCTAATTTGGAATTTTTTTACTATTGAATACTTTTGTATAGGAAAAATGTCTTTAAAATATAAATGAATTGTCTCGGAATGAATAAGTTTTTTTCTAACAAATATTTTTGATACCACATTATGACGCGTTCAAAAATAAAAGAATCTCCTCTAATCACCCTTCCTTGTTTCACAAAAATTAAGTAGATATACCTACAAATTTGCCTTTAAATTTATCCCATTTTCGTTTTAACGATCAACTGACAAATTCGGTCAGAACCTTTCAGTATTAGTATCTATTTTGGCATATTTCTTAGAAAAATATGGTAAAATTGAAAAATTTTATACGGCAACCATAGTTGACGCCCGGAAATTAGAAAATTTGAGATTAATACTAAATTAACTAAACTAAACTTCTATTCCTTTCTTTTGGTTAATCACGAACACGTGTCTGTGGTCAGCAGACTTTTTTACTTGTAAGTTTTCGCAGGTAAAATTTTTTCCAGCCGAAAGTGGCAGATTGCAGTGTCATTTTGCGCTCTCGATTTCCCCCACTTTGCAAGAGAGCACTGCTATTAACTTGTTTATTTCTATAAAAGGAAACATTTTTGTAAATCTTCCATTCCGTTAAATGCAACGGAATTTTTATGAAAATTTTTGTATTACTAGCACTTAAATAGGTAATAAGTATAACTTGTATGCTTTTGTTGATTACCTTGGCGCTTGGTGGCCTTTTCAAACAATTGATTTGCACTTAAGTTTCCACCTTCGACACGCCATGTTTTATATCATGATTTTTATACAGAAAATCTAAAAACATGTATATGTGACTATGTATGTAAGGTCTTTTAAATGTTGGTACTTTCTCGGCTTTTTTAGTTCACTTTTTTTGGCCATTTGGTACAAAATTAAAAAACTCATTTATCATCCCTGTCTGACTCTGATTAAACCTTCTGCGCCCAGCCATAATGTTTTATAGGATACTCTTAGCTTTGTAAAACTACCAACATGCAATTTATGAACCAATAAAAGAGCAGCATTTTGCTCTGAACTGAAATACTTTTCTCTCCCTGAAATATTTTATGAAATGAAACGTTAATTGAATAACCCTGAATGTAATTGTATAACGGAACGAGTTTTCCGTTTAAATCGGGACCGCTACCCTCGCTAAAATTTACGCGCTTGGGGTATTCGCAATTTTTATTAAAAATCTTGAAAATCGTATTTAAAAAAAACCGATTTATGCATTAACAATAAAAAAAATCGTAAAAATGTGGCTTTAAATATAATTAATAGAACAATGAATCATTTTCTGTCATCAAATTCCGAAAAAATTAAATTTTCATGTTTTCGTGTTTTAAACCTTTTTCCATTATCTAAAAATACACAAAAAATATGCCGCTACAGCCAGATGTCATCCAAAGACA